AGTAAAAAGCTATCATGAAAAAAGTACAAACCCTCGTCCAAAATGTTCAACCTCTAGATGATTATGCCCTTTTCTCATGATTATTCGTCTCTGTTTATCGGCTAAATACAGATATCCACGCCTGTTCTAGGTATTAGCGAGATTTATACACTAAAAAGTAGTCAGTGTTTGCGACAAACTGCTAAACCAGTTTGCAAAGCCTCACCTGAACAACAGGACATATTCAGAGAAAAAATTGGGATATTGCAAACGTTTAGAACGCATTTTAGTATTAAAAAATTGGAGATAAGCTGATAATCCGAGAGATCCTTTCGAAGAAAACGAACCTGCAGTTCAATGTCTTCGTCCGCTTCAGCAGGAATCATCTTTTGATAACATCGATCACACATCCGACGTTGTACCCCCTTTCCATCATCTTCCGTGGTATGATAGCGATGACCCGAGCATTGCTGACAGACAGATAGCATACACAATCTTAACAACACTCATGATAATCTAAACCAGCGAATAATCATGTTTTTTTTTTCAACGATAGCTCACCTGCAGCGATGTTCGGCATCGTCTGGTTTCAAAACGCCAATCATAGGGTAGGGTTTGTTGCAAATTTGGCAATGAGTATTTCGAAGTAATGGGATACCACTTGACTCTCTTGGAACTTCACATGAGTCCACCACGGATACGTCGGACAGTGCGCGACAAAGGCTGTTATCTCCATCAGAATCACCATCGCCAATAGATGTCTGAAATATTTATATCATGAAATGTAGTAGTACCCAATTTTCTAAAGAACAGTTAGACTCATTATTTCATAGTTCAACCGTCAAATCATCTATCTCACGTTTCATCACTGTCAAGCGTTTCTTGTTTGAAGAGCGCCGTGCTCAATCTATGACCTCTAGGATATAATCCCAAGCGGTAAACACTCATTTATATCCTGTGATCTTTGCCCGAAGCCGACCGTTATTTCAAGAAAAGCAAGCATAGTCAACAAAAAAGCAGTAAACAAGTAAAC